GGTGTTTTAGTTCAGCTGGTGTCAGTGGTTGTTCTGCAGCGGTTCCAAGTGCGTGTCTTTTGTTAGTGCTTGCAGCTGCTGATATTATGGACGAACAGAGTCGCATGATGCACCCAGTTACCTCTCAAGTTGGAATGATGCCTCAAGGGTATGGGATGCAACCTGTGGATCCGAACCATGGGGGCCCAACGACTCCTGATCAGGAAACCAGAAAGCAAGATATTGGGGAGATTCTTCAACAAATCATGAACATCACGGATCAGTCCTTGGACGAGGCTCAAGCAAGGTAACAATTGTCTTACAAGTTGATCACATTACATTTAGGAATTATTTTATACATCACTTACTTATCATATCTTTAAATTAGTAGAGTTTTGATACCAGTAGGTTTTAAGTTACCAAATGAAAATTATACATATCATTGTAACAGAACAGCTATAATTATCAGCAATTCTCCTCTGTAATCGGGTGGTATTTATTATTATTATTATTACTACTACTACTACCACTACCACTACCACTACCTAAAAGCGGCAGTATTTTATCTGGACGGGTTTAACCTCAAAATTCTAAACCATCTGTATGTATATGCAGCCATCCCGTGTTTACAATACAAATGAATAAAACATGTATTTACAGTGGCAGTAGTCAAGCATCGTCTTGCATTTGAAAATAGGTTGAAAATTAAACGAAACTCGAAAATGTCACTGTTATGTGGATGTGTTTTTGTTGGGCTGTCTGTGACTTCCCATTGCAAAAATTATTTTGCCGCAGTTTTAAATGACGTACTACATTATTTCTCTAGTGTACAGCAATCTCAGACTGCATAATTAAAATGTTGATTGTAATAGGAGTTTTTATGATAAATATGTATATCATATCATGTCACAAAGATAAAAATAGTAGTTTGTTTACGTTTGCACCCATATTGATTTATGACAGTGACATATTTCAGCGCTTTAAACAAAATGTCTAACTGTAAATTGTTCTTGTCCTTGTACAGAAAACACACTCTTAACTGCCACCGCATGAAGCCAGCCCTTTTCAGCGTGCTGTGTGAAATCAAGGAGAAAACAGGTAGGATACTCAATCAAAGCCAGTACTTTGCGTCCATGTACAGACCCAGAGACAGTGCAGTATTTGTGTTCTTAGAATTGACCTTCCTTTGGCCCACATCAGAACTGCACATGCCACAAAAGAATGTGAGATTTGAGGTTTTAACGGCGGTCAAAATGTCGATGTTTTATGGGTTTGTAACGCCGTGTTAACTTGTAGGCAGACTTCGTTTCATAGGAATATACTGCCTTCACCTTCAGGACACATCAGGGCTGAAGTTGAAGCCAGTATGTTCCACTGAAAGAAAGTTGGTGGGAGTTCTCACGACATTAATATTCCCTATACTGATTATCTGTGTTGTAACAATTTTATTCTGCCACGAAATATGGCTAGTATTCATGAAATGTACCTTTTCTGCAATCTTACTATGCTGATGAAGTTCATTCAGAAAGAGATGTTGTGGGACTATGAATCTATAGCGTGTGGGACGAAATGGTCGTGGCCCATTTCATCACACTATACCAGAATCTGTCGCCGTGTGCAGTTAGGCTGTGGTTGGCAGGCCTGCCTAGGTCTTCCTTACACGCATTCGGATTTAAGGTTCATGTAAGATTGTTTACGGATTTTTACGTTCCGGTTCGGTGACCACCATTTTGACTCTGTCATGTTTCGTAGACGTACAGATAAACTGGGACTGCAGAAACATAAGGAGTAACAGTTTTGTTTTGTCACTGTGATGGACACAAACATTTGGTCTTGACGTTTTTTCTGAAACAGTGATGAAATATTGCGTACTGTGGCTTGCTGATTTGTTTAGAACTTGAGTTCAATGTTAAACGCATAAATACAGAGCACTGCAATGCCGAACGGTCTCTACCTCGTGAACCGGATTTACCGAACGACGCGTGTAGAAGTATTTCGTTGGCGTGTGTGCCTGAAACCACGTCTCGTGCGCGGTTTGCGCCAAACACCACTGTATTTGACGGGAATATAAGAATCGACCCCATTTGAAGAACTATGAAGGCCACGTATTGGACCTTCAACTTGTGTGCCATTTTCCACAGACTTATGCCTAAGAAATTGTTCAAAGCGCGTTACCACAAAAGCATACAAGTGTAAGATAACTTGTTGAAGACCGGAAAACTAAACTATTGTTTCTGTTTTATCATCGATGTTATGTATCTGTCTTCTGTTGTTTTAATGTGAATGACAGTTTCTTCTGCTACGGAAAATGAATAGCTTTCATAGAACGAATCATAAACCTTTTCAAGGACGTTTTTTAGCCTATGTTTTCCTGGAAGTATTTAATAATTCTAAGAAACAAGTTTAGTTTTTTTGTGTGTGTTCTGCAGTAATTATGAAGGAAGGCGTTTTAGGATTTAGTTGAAAATAAAATGAGAGAATTTTTATAAATGGATACAAGACCCCGGACCATGTGGAAATCAGTTACGTAGTATTTACAGATCAGATTGTGTAGGCCTAATGTTTATCGTTTTTGTCTTCCTCCGTAAAATTCTAATGAAGAAACCTTTTGTGTGTGTGGACATAATGTAAATTAACGTGAAACATCGCAGAAATTTCTTTTTCCCCGTAGAATGACTCTTCTGTCTTGATTTTCATTTATTTCATAACCCTGCAACAGCTTTGTAAAACGACATATTTCGCCTTCTGATTTCTCGGCGTACTCAACATGCTGCTTAAATATCTTCCCCACATTTATTTATGTTTCGATTAATTGTTAAAGGAATTTAATTATTACGTGCACATGCACGCGTGCATAGGCCTATAATAGCCCTGGTTTTTTTTATGTCGACTGGAGCTGTAACGTATAGCCGCTGAATGGAGAACGTTCTTTAACTAACGAAAAATTGTGCCTGTATCTCATTTCACACCGCAGCAATTTGTGTTTCCTGAAGTACGTAGTTGAATAACACAGTGCAGCCACGCTTCTGCAGTGAAAATCGCGTACCACGTACTGTCTGAGATTTAAAGTTCTCACAGCGGTGGAAATATGTGGTCTCTCAGGTTGTGACGCCGTATTACCCTGAAGGTGACGTAGCAGCGTTATCAGAGGAACGTATCGCCTGTCATACGAGTTTTTAAAAAGCGCGTATTCCGTTTATGTATATTTCGCCTGGCAATTTTAATATGTAAAACATGTTTCGTCAACATATAAAACTTATTAAACTGTTCAAGTAACTTAGAGATATATACAGTAATGTAAACGATTTATTATTTGATTTGATTTTTGGAGATATACAGCTAATTTCTGAAGCTACGTATGTAAATTTGTTGTACTTTGTACTGTCATACTATCTCAGTATAAACATCCGATGTTTTGTACCTCTTGGTTCTAGAGTTTAAAAAAAGAGAGGCTTAATAGGAAAAGAACATTTTTTCCTGAAGTTTGCAGAAAAGAAGTCGTGACGTTATTATTTACATTTGGATTATAAACGTTTATAATTTTTTCTCGTATATAAAACAAATATTTGCTTACGCCGTTAGTATAATTGGGCTTCCGTTTTCATAGGCTAGATGGTGTCGTATGTAGGTTTTAATGTCTGGGATGTTTAAAATTTAGTCTATTAACAGTCACGTACATTAACAAATTGATATATGTTTTGGTCTGTTTGTCAATAACTTGGTGTCAATTATTGCCAGGAAAAAATTCCTCGCATACATTTGACGTGCGATTAAAAATGCGGCACTGGTCCTTTATCTTGAAGGGATTTTTACTGATTCTTCTTTCCGGCGCATTTGAAACACAGCCAAAAATCTTTATTGACGTGTCACGTATTAATATCTCAGAATTACGCAGCCATATTTACATAATGATTTTTACCAACGCCATATAAGCCCGAGAAATATAGGCCCACTCTTTTCGCGAATTATGACTCAGATAAAACTACCCCGACAAATATTGGCCTATGATAATAAGCGTGGTATTACATTACAGTCCTCCCACTTCTACATCCTTCATTACATTAATTGGTTCGAGAATTTGCTGTGTTACCCTAGACCAGGAATTGGCAGTGTTGCAAGGCAGAAGGGTAATTTTTTATAATATTTTTAGGGAAAAAAGCTTCTTGAAAGCTGTTTGTACACATTCAGTTGACAATAGGAAGGTATTTGTGCCAGTTTGTAGATTGTTTTTATTTAGTTTATATAAGTTAATATAATAGCTTTCCATTTTCATTTGGACCTCACAATGTATAAGAAATGCAAATTATTATACATCTTCTATGGTCATAAACTAGATATTAGGCTTTATTATCCATGTTCTTCGTAGTTTACGTGGGTTTCGTCGTAAATCGGAAGTCACTACACAATATGACTTGTGTTAATAAAGAGACGCGCCTATTAATGTAAAAAGTGGCATGTGACTCACGAGCCGCTATTTGCCGACCCCTGCACTAGCCAGTTATGCGTATAGCAGGGGCCTAATTATATTGTGAAGATATTTCAGCTCTAATTGCCCTAAAATCAGCATCAAGCCCTGACAACTGACTATGAAATTGCAAGCTGTTCTTTTTATTGTAGAATTAACGATGTTTAAATTTAATATTGAACTGCATCGTACTAACGTTTATCCTAGCTCATTTTATTGACTTTTATTAACAGTTATTAAATAAAGAATATATGGCTAAAGTGTAATTTTATTGTCATTTATATGTCAATATTATGTCAGATTCGATTTGTTAAGTGAAGTTCGTTTCACTGAAACATTCTAAACCTGCAAATCGTTTCAACTGTATAATAAATAATGAATTATTAAGGTTTTAATTTTTGTTACCAAATAAATGAAACTTGGTTTCGTAATAATGTTTTATCAAAGATGCTATTCCTGTTTATGTTTGTTGGCTGTCGGGAAGGAAAAATGCCTTGAAATCACAGAGTTGAATCGTCTGTGGTATTATCCATCATTAATTCGATAAATCGCGAATGAGCGAAGTCGTTGCTAGCCTGACAACATTTCTCCACCCACGTGTAGCGAATTTCGTCCCATTGAAAACATTTTCCACGGAAGTAATAAGTTAGCTATAACTTTTCAAGTTTTAAAAGTTTTATACAATAAGATTGACAGACAAGCTACGAAACGAAAACAAATCGAGACTCCATTGGAGCTGAAAACTTTTGCGATTGACATATTGTGCAGCTGTCCGTATCGCCTCTGACGGTAAACAATGGTTGTGCTGTAATATTGAACACTTTTCAATACGGCTTCATGTATGGAAACTGACGGAGTGGAAAGCAGGACTTCATGCAAAATGTGACACGTAAACTTGCCATTCTGTTGTTTAATAAAAATTTGATAAGAATATCACCTCTGGTAGTTGTAGTTTTGTTTTTGCATATTGATATTGGTTTCCTAGTGTGTCGTGCACAAATCTGTGAATAAAAAATATAGCGAAAAGGCGGGTAGCAACCAAATAAATTGACATATTTCTGGCGCTGTTTTCGATAAACAGTTTCGTGAATTTGGAAGTTCTAGAAACGCAATTTAAAATTGAAACACTACAGGTGAATTGTAGTTATAGCAGAGTATTGAGTTTCAAATTGTCATGAGTGATTGCCTGCCATTCGTAATACGAAGTACAATAAAAGATTTCTAAAATGGTGTCTATATCATTAATTTCTCAGGTCTTGAAAATACGGAGCTAAACCCAATAAAATTATCGTTAACAAACTAAAAATGTTTAAAACCGGTCGAGACGGGATAGACGAGAATTTATCGAGATATAATCGGCTCGAATGTTTGTTTTGTCGTCGCTAAATTGTGTTTTATATTGTTTATATTTTGGAATTTATCTGGGAAGTAGCATTCCTGTCGCAAATGGCAAAGAACTGTTTAATCCATTCTGGTAAAATATGTGTAGAACGTTTTTTAATTGGCGAACTGTCACAAACTAATTAAAATAAGAAAGAAATCAGGTTGGAAACCGAAGAAGTGTTATGAGTGTTTAGCAGTAAATTATAGTGTATTTGTATGAGGGCGTTTTTGATTTGACGTGGGATTTTTT